TGACTGATGATGCTGAGCTTTTCTATCGTCTCTTTCCACAAATGTAGTTGATTTGATTCACGAGTATTCCATCCGGCGAGGTCCACCTGTATAGTCGCCGTTTATGTGGGTGAAAAAAGGTATTTGCAATGAAGAATCTGTTGGTCTTGCAAAATTCTATCATGCGATCTCTGGCATCATTTCTACCACCAAGGCCATACCACCGGTATTCAAATACCAGCAGAGTCACCTACGGCAGACAGATCTCAGCTGAGCTACCAGACTAAGACTAAGAAGGACCCAGCAGTCTATTTCTGAAAAGAATTAGCCAGTGAAAACCGTATGAATAGCAGCAGAACATTATCTGATGCAGTGTTGGAAGATGAGCCCCTCAGGTTGGAAGGCACTCAAAAGATGACTGAGAAAGAGCTACCTCTTCAAATTAGAGTCGACCTTAATGATGTGGATGGAGTTAAGCTCGCAGGACTTTGATTTGCTGATGTGGCACAACTCAAAACGAGAAGAAACAGCTGCAAACATCCATTACTAATCGGAATGTGAAATGTACAAAGTATGAATCTAGGAAAATTGGAAATCGTCAAAAATGAAATGGAATGCATAAATATCAATATCCTAGGCATTAGTGAGCTGCAATGGACAGGTATTGGCTATTGTGAATTGGACAGTCATATGGTCTACTATGTTGTGAGTGACAACTTGAAGAGTTCATTGTCAAAAAGAACATTTCAGGATCTATTCTGAAGTATGATGCTGTCAATGATAAGATAATATCCATAAGCATACAAGGAATACTAGTTAATACTACTACTATCCAAATTTACGCACCAACCACTAAGGCCAAAGATGAAGAAATTGAAGATTTTTACCAACTTCTGCAGTCTGAAAATTATTAAACATGCAATCAGGATGCATTGATAATTACTGGTGATTGGAATGCCCAAGTTGGAAACAACGAAGAAGGATCACTAGTTGGAAAATATGGCTTACTCTGTAGGATTTTTAAGTCAATGTAGATGAAATTATTCCATGCATTTAGATAGTAACATGCAGTGTCATTTATAAATCTGGGATATTCTGTCTAGTAGGTGCCATGAGGTCGGCTGGAATGTAAGACTTTGTGCCCAATGGGAGGGTGGAGGATAGTTCCTGTATTGTCTGGGGTGACATGATATGTATCTACTCAGAATCAGACACTCCATGTATTTGGATCTTTGCGGTGGTTACTGTGCTGCTTCTGGTGATGGTGTTAGATTCATATCTATCAAGGTTGTAAAGAGAGTCTTATGGTGTCACTCATAGAGAAGAAGGCTTGGAAACAGTGAACATAACAAAATCCTGAGGGGCAAGGGATCTTCATCTACCTCTGGAACAGAAAGAAAGAGGCCAAGAACAGGTGACAGGTGTCATTGTACATAGATCCACTTCTACCCCAGTGGATGCAGTATTTCTCCTGGGCAGGCAAAAGCTGTGGGTGATCAGGTGAGAAAGAGGCTGGTAGTTCCAATGAATGGTGCAGACCACTGTGCAACTCTGAATTTGAGCTTGGATAACCTTCCAAATGTAGTCCCCAATAATTGAACCGATTCACACAATGGCAAATCTGACTGCTTGCTTTCAAATGTATCAAGGGCCAAAGGAGACCTAATAAGATCACAAAACCCAGACAAGCCACTTGGCTCTGGGAAAGTGTATGGGGTGGAAAGTGTAGGAAAGGGGGATTGAAAGTAAAGCAAAAAAGAGATAGAGGGAAAAGGAAGAACAGGAAGAGAACATGGAGAGAATGAATGACAATTCTTCAGAAGAGGAAAGGAGCTGAAGGAAGTGAAGAAGCTCAGACAGAGAGGAGAATTCCACCTCTGCCAGGCAACCTGTTTGACCCTGAGTGGTAGCAGCGCTCAAAGTCAGTAGACAAGGCTGGACTCTTTGGGTTGTGAGTTTTAGTGAAGTAGAGGGAGTGGTATTATCAGGGGCTTCTCTCAAAAGATTTAGAATTGTGTTGTGGGTTTGTGTGGGATAACTCAAAAACAAACAAACAAAACAGGCAGTAACCTCCCCCCACCTCCCCCCACCCCGCTTTGTGCTGCAGGACTTCAAGAAGGTTCTGGAAAAATATTTTTACTCGAGCTCATCTGCATCTTACCTGTTTTATTTTTTTAAAAAGTGTAGAAAAATTTTATAAATAAATTTAAATTCAATTTCTAGTGAAAAATGCTTAAAATAAAGAAATATTAAAAGACTAAAATAAATGATAGCTTTTACTGACCAACCAAATATAGCTACTGTATGTGTATATATGTATATACATACATATATACAGTAGTTATGTGTATACATGGAAACCCTGGTGGCATAATGGTTAACAGCTACATCTGGTAACCGAAAGGTCGACAGTTTGAATCCACCAGGAGCTCCTTGGAAACTATGGGGCAGTTCTACTCTGTCCTATAGGGTGGCTATGAGTCGGAATCGACTCAACGGCAACGGGTTTTTATGTGTCTATATACATGTGTATATATCTATATACACATGTGGAAATGTATACAATTTAATGACATTAATTATGTTAGCCTCTTTATATTTTGCTGTATTAAATGCTGTTTGATTTTTTGTATTTATCCATATGTGCGTACATTTTAACAAGATGTGCTTATGTGCTACATGCCGTAATATTTTACGTGATCTTGATATTAGCTGAACATATTTTCATATGACTCAATATTTTTCTGCTGTATTATTTTTTGATCACACTATATCCTGCCACACAGGTACATAATCATTTACCTAATCAATTTTCTTTTGTTGGGAATTTACGTTGTTTCACTCCTACTTTATTTTTCTATGATGTGTGATGTTGAAATGATCATTTTTATGAACAAATCTTTGTGAACACAGGTGAATACTTTGCCGTGGAATGCAGAGGGTATGCAGATATTTAAGGATTTTGATTCCTTTTGCTCAACAGCCCTCTAGGATGGTCCCTTGACCTCACACTCCTAATGGCTTTGTACCAGCAGCCAGTGTCCCCGCTCATGGACTGACCCTTTAATGGTGTCTACTCCTAGAGACATTACTAACAATTTTCATCACGCTAACGAGTAGCAGTTTGAAGTCACCTGAACATGTACACACCCTACAGACCCAACGACGTCATTCTTTCCTGCCAACAACTCATCACCTGCTAATGACCTGCTGGAAAATTTCTGTCTTACAGTTTCCAGATATCTCTGGAGTGCTTGCCAGGTCTATCTGGAGTGCTTGTGCATCACACAGGTGCTGCCTGTCACTTGCCTCATGCCCCCTTCACATTATGGATCACTCACCTTGTTAGGAAACGGCTTTCACTCCTCAGTGACCATTGTATCCCCTCTGAAGTTTTATGTTGGCCTCTATGCTCCAGAGATGGCACCCTAAGATCCCAGGCCTGCTCTACACAGACGTGCAAACCTACTGGTCATCCCGCAAATTAAAAGACGAGGGTGCAAGAGAAAGAGCTGGTGTCTGGGAGTCTGGACAAATGGACTCTGGGTGCAATTCAGAAGCACAATTTTTGGACGACTTTAATTGTCTTTCCTTTCTAGACATCCGTTTCTTTATCTGGATAATGGAGGGGCTGTATTCAGTGCTGTTTATAAGCCTCCTGTCCCCTGACATCGCATATCATAATGACCTTCGCTTCCTAAACTTTGTGGCTGACCTTTTGTCTTACCTGTATTGCTCTCTCTTCCTACTGAAACTTGTTTTAAATTTTCTGTGTGTGTGTTTTTTTTTTTTTTTTTTATTTGAGACATCTGCTTTTATGTTCTACTTTGAAAGGGCCCCTATGTTTGTGCATGCGTGTTCGTCTGTGCATGTGTGTGTGCCTGTATGTGTGTAGAGAGAACATCTGTGTGCTTTCTGGTCAGTGTGTGTTTGTGTGAATAAATGTTTGTATGGGAGGGGGTTGAAGATCATCTCTCTTAGGTGTCTCCTAGAAAGGACTGAATTCTACCCTCCATCTTCCTGCTACAGCGATGGCTGTTTTCACACTGGGCAGTCATGAGAGAAAAAGACTGGCTAAGGGCATTAAATCAGAGTATCTGTACGTGTGTTTGTGTGATTTCAGGTGTGGGTGTGTGTGTCTGTGTGAATGTCTGCTTCTGTCTCTGTGTGTGGGTGGGTAGATTTGTGTCTGTGAATGTGTCTGTGTCTGTGAGTGTGAGTGTTTGTGTGCTTGGCTATGTCTGTTATGAGAAATCAGAAATGGAAGAAGAGTGAAGAAGAACTGATAATCAGGCTAGAATATGTATGAACACTATTTCTTCAGGATGGTAATAAAAAAAGGAATCAACTGGACAGAATAAATGTGATTTGGGGATAAGGTACTCAGGGTCAGAGATGGCTTGAAACTGGCACCAGCTAAACTCAAGCAAGACACACTCAGGTGCAAGGAGAAAGGCCTGCTCTAGCTGAGGTTGCCCAAAGGCAACCACTGGTGGACGAGGAATGTTCTCTGTGCACGACAGACACACACACACACACACACACACACACACACACACACACACACACACACACACACATTTTCAGTGCCAGGATCAGGCACCTACTAACTATATCCAGCCCCTCTCTGTGTGCAGTTCCTACTTCCAGAGAACAATGAAGAAGCCGCCTGAGTTGGCCAATGACATGCAGAGCCAGGTGTGGAATTAAAAGTGATTTAATGGGGGCAGAGCAGGAAAGAGTACTTGATCCTTCCCAAAGTCACTCCTCAGATGAATCCTGAGCAACTGGAAGACTAGCTCAGCCAGTGAGACCTCCAGCCTTGTTCAGAAGTTCAGGGAACTTGCCAGAGTGAGTGTGAGGAAAATCTTTTCAGAGGGTGCAAATGAGGGAGGGACTGTGACTCGGGGTGACAACATGCTATTTGCAAGGTCAACAGGCAAATGGGACTCATAAGCAGAATGGGAAAGGGGTTCAGCAGCTGGTGGTCGACTCCTCCAGGGACATGGCTGTGCACCCCTTTACTTCTGCTTGGTCTTCTGCTGGGCTGGTGCTGGAGTGACCTTTGAGGGGCAGGGCTCAGGCACCTTGGGGTGGCAGGGCTCAGGCACCGTGGGGTGGCAGGGCTCGGGCACCACGGGGTGGCAGGGCTCAGGCACCGTGGGGTGGCAGGGCTCGGGCACCGTGGGGTGGCAGGGCTCAGGCACCTTGGGGTGGCAGGGCTCCTTAGTTTTGGGGACACATGGTTCCTGAGGTGGGGGCTGGCAAGGCTGTTTCACCTGCTGCTGTTGAAGCTGAGGGGGTAGGACACAGGGCTTCTTCTGCTGCTGGGAATTCATGCTTCAATGGTGGTTGGACCTTGACATAAAAAAAAGACGATTTAGTTACACACGGATTAACTAGGGAAGAAGCCATGTTCAATGTCCAATGTACCACACTTCAGGCTGCTTTAGAAGACAGAGTTCCTCATCTCCCTTGGCTGGCCCCCTAAATTTGAGAGTAAAAAATGCTTTGGTAATTTCTGAACCATTTCAAGAGAAGGATCTAGGAGCTTAAAGGTTATCTGTTTTGCTCCATTTGAGTGGGGTTCATTTCCCAGCTCCATGTTTTCCTGAGATATGGCATATACCTTAAGAGAACTGGCTTCGAAGAGGGACAGGAAACCCATATATCAGGTCTTTTGGAAAATAATTCAGTAAAACAACTGTAGTCTACAAACTCATAGTAACACAGAATGCCTTGTTACTTATAGGTAATTCTATACTAACCTAAGCCCCTATGCTATCACTTCCGGTCTTTGCTCACATATTCCCCTCAGACTCATTGTAGCCTCTCCAAATGCACCTCCATCATAACTCACATCATGTGTCACCACTAATAGTCTCTTCTGCAACAAGTCTCCCCCAAACTGCCACAGTCCCTCCCTGCCCCGACCTCCTTTTACCAATCATGAACTACTTTGCATTTCATCTATTTATGTACATGTATTATCTTCCATTAGAAAGAAAGGTCTGGTGATCTACTTCCAACATTAGCCAATGAAAGCTCCATGAACACAACAGTTCGATCGACAACCGATCATGGGGATAACGCAGGATGGGGCAGTATTTGGTTCCATTGTGCATGGGGTCGCCATGAGTCAGGGGCCAACTCAATGGCAGCTACCAACAACAGTCATCTTCCCTGATGTGTTGTAAGTTTGCTGAATAAGTTCCATATTGGTCTGATTTACCCAAACTGGCCAGCACATTGCCTTAAATATAGTAGTTGCTCAGCAGAGATCTGTTGAATGAATTATAGGAAACCTGGTGGTGTAGTGGTTAAATGCTATGGCTGTTAACCAAAAGGTTGGCAGTTTGAATGAATTATAAGCTCTGTAATAAATATCATACACAAAATTGTGTTGCTGAAAGTGCCCTGGGCCTGACTCTTAGTCCTAATCCTGCTCTTAACTCACCGTGGACTTGTGTACAGATCCCTCCCCTTCCCTGACCTCGGTTCCACAGCAGTACACTGAGGCAGTAGACTTATCCATCTCTAAGGGCCCTTCAAGCCCAAATTGCTTTCATTTAAAATAAAGATATTCTCATATTCTCTAACTCTAGTGAATATCCTACATTGGCCTCTTTGTCCAGTTTCCAAAAAATGAAAAGATATATAAGAATGCCACGTCAGTTCAAAACAGAGACTCACCTGGTGCACAGAGAAAAACAGGTTTTCTGGTTGCTTGGATCTGGTGTGAGTCCATAGCCAATTAGCTTTTATACAGTGAATGAGCCTTGCCTCAGGGAAATAGAATCATTGGGGCCGCTCTGTTTTCATTCCTTGCCTGTCACACATGATTCACCACACTCCCTTCAATTACCTGTTGGCTCAGCTTTTGTGATGGAAAACTACCCACTTGATTTTTTTTGGCACCGGCTGTCCAACAGTGATGTCACCTGGGCCTAATTCCCACTGTCACCCTCCCCCCTTAGACCCAGGAGTAGAGCTTGTATTGGGGGAAGGGTGAGCAAGAGCTTCCTTAATTGGTTTGATGATTTAACCCTTGAGAGAGATTTGAGTCCATGTGTGGCCTTGCCACCAACATATTCTCTTTTTCATTGGGTTGACTGTTCCTCCATATTCTTTGGGACAGAACTTGTTGGTGGCGCATGAACAGGTAGAAAAGGGAGGGGAAAAGTGGAATGGAGATGGCCATGAGCTATTTGTCTTAGTTAAGCAGGATGTGGGAGGTAATGAAGTTGATGGATTATAGACTCCTTGTCTGAGGGACCCAAGACCCTTACATCCATTTCTCCCCTTTTTCTCTGAACCCCATTGAGCTACACACATTCAGAATTACTCACAGACCATTCCCCCCTAACCTCACCCCTCCCTGTCAGGTTATTAAGCTGGAAAAACCTACTTTGCTTTCACCAACCACACCTTCACCCCTCTCTTACTTCAGAGAATTTCAAGGGCTAATCTGTCTTTTGGGATAACCTCTTCCTTCCACTCCACCCAGCCATCTGGTCATGGCTCTTTCCCTTCATAATGTAACTAGACACTATGCCCACCCAGAAACCTGGAAGCCTTTTCTAGCTACCTCCACCCCGGGCCCATCCATGGGCTCCTCAATACTCAATCCTCTCCCACCTCTTGCCCACTTCTGACTCTGGCTGCAATGTTTTCTTCCTTTCTTTGGCTTTGTATCTCCTGGGGGCTTTCTGAGGGTTAGAGCCATGCCTGCTCAAGCCAGCATTATTCTTGTGGTAATATTTATTTATTCATTCACTCCAAAAATATTAATGGAGCACCTAATATATGTCAGTCATGCCTCTTATTCTAGAAGATATCAAGGATGAAAACTATGTCCTCCCGATAGACCTTAGAGTGAAAGATGCAACATAATTCAGAGCCACTGAGTTTAAGGACCTCAGAGAGCCTCTAGTCTGTGCTCCTCAAGTGATGATTGGGGAATATGAGGCCAAGAGAGGTGAAACAACTTACCCAAGGTCAAACCCCATGAGAAGAAGGATTCAAAATAAAAAGCTTAGATTCTCCTTTGTTTTAACCCCTCCCTTCTCCCTAATGCCTATAAAGGAAATGAAGCCTAGGCAGGAAAATGATGAAGCATGGAAACGGGTAAGTTTAGACTCCTGGAGGCTTGGAGCTGGGTTCACTCATAATTCTGGAAAACTTTGTGTGAGTGGCAATTTGAGAAGACAGGAAGAGTCTTGTTTTCTGGGTAAGCACTTAATCTTTGCTCAGGTGAATCCTCTTAAATAGGAATAAAGACGGTTAATATTTTAAGTGGCACTGGGGATAAACATTAGGTATTTCTAGTTTGCTCAACGCCTCTATAGGCACTGGGGAGAAGGGAGGTGTTAAAACAAAGGAGAATCTAGGCTTTCTGTGTCTAGCTCTGCTAGAAATGGGAGGGACCATTTATGAGCACAGGTGGAAATAAGCGACTCACTCAATTTATTGTCCCTCAGTAGACCAGGGTCTGGCAGAGGAAGGAAAGGTCTAAAATGCCTACCTGGGACCTGAGCTGCTTTCACCATGGAGGTGACCTCAGGGTGGCATAGTGAAAAGGTCCAGGTGCCCCATCAGTGAAGACATCGGTATGGCAGCCAGGTGGGCAGCCTCTGAGCACCTGCCCTGGTGTCTTTTCCTTCCCTCCATGGTTCTGTTTGAAGTGATGCTCAGATCCTGAAGATTCTCCCTGTCATGGGGCTTACTTGGGGATACATAGGATTCCCTGAGTCCTTAGGCCAGAAATTTCCTCTGATCAACATAACAAGAAACAGATCACTGATTCAGACCTGCCCCCAAGCACAATCTGTTATTAGGTATGGCCTTTGGAAAATCCAAATCACCCTTAAAATCCAGCTGTGTGCATGGTTCCTCCTCCTCCTTCCATCCACTCTCCCCCTACATACACCCCTAAATGTTTGGAGCACCTATTGGCGCCTCCTCTGGGTCACCTCCCAGGATCAGTCACCACCCCACCAACAGTGCCTCACTGGGTCCTCCAGCCATGCATCCACATCCACCCTACATGCTCCTGAGGTGTAGCAGCTGCTCAGTGAATTGGCAGTTATGGGCCAACTGACTGACTGACTGACTAAATGGCATTGTTTGTAAAAAGATGTCCAGAAACTGCTTTGAGAACTACTAAGTAGCTCCTTGTAAGGGAAACCGTCCCTTGTGACAGGCCTTGTGGGATGAGCTGAGAAGAGACGTAAGGGCTCAGGAAAGGACAGATAGTTGCTCCTGTTGCCTTCTCCACCCATCTACTTCATTGTCATCCAGTTAATGAACCACCTCCCATTCGGCTGGTGCCACCTTCACCACCACACCTGAGCTGAAACCCTCTCACCTTACTTTAACTCTCTTCTAGGCTTGGGTCCAGGTCTCTCTCTTCACCAAAACCCACCCTCAGGAGCCCTGACAGAGAGAGCTCCAGGCAGGACTTGCTGCTGCATCGGTGGGATTCTCAGCTCCAGACGAAATGCTTCTGCCTGTCTGTTCCCTGCTGCCAACCAGCTTGTCTTGGGGCCTGTGTGATGTGAACCCAGCCCCCAGGACCTTGGCGCTGAATGCAAAGGAATTTCTTTCACCAATACCCCACCCTTTCTGGACTCTCCTGCCTGCCTCCTTTACCCCACTGAAGCCACTCCTCTGGCTCCAGTCTCTGGGAATTTCACCAACACATAATCCTGACCTGGTTCTCCCTGTGTGTTTTACTGAAGCACACTCAGTGTCTGGGCTCTAAGGATCCTTCTTTCCTTCAGAGGATCTCAGTTTCTTCACTATCAGGGTTGGGTTAGCTGATGAATCTGGCCCCACATATTCCCCACACAAAGAAAGGGGAAGTTCTGTGACCTCTGACGCCAAACATCATCTCCCAGGATTTCTCAGCCTTTGACAGCAGCCCCTATTTAGGACACGAGAGGCCACTGCCCTTCCCATGTCAAAATCCTGGTGCCACCTTTGACCAGCTCCTAGGATCCTCTGTTAGCTCTGAGTGGTGCCAATGGTTTATAGCTCATTTGCAAAGCAAGGAGGATTGATAGCCTTAAACCCAGTGAATCTCTGATCAGGTCCTTCCAGCTTAGATTTCTCCCTTCTTTCTACTTCCCAGTGCCCCAGACAGCCCTCCAATATGGGTAGTGTCATGCAGAACTGGAATTCCAGACCTTTTACCATGAGATTACATATTTAAATCATGGCAAGTGGTTGGTGCACTTGGTTGCTTACAGAAAGGTTGGAGGTTTGAGTCCACCCAAAGGTGCCTTAGAAGGCCTGCAGATCTACTTCTACAAAATCAGTCACTGAAAACCCTCTGGAG